TATATCAACGAGAATCTGGGCAAGATGAAACAAGAAAGAAAGAAGAGAAAAAAAGAGGACCCCAACTTTTCTCCACCTGTCCAACACCCTCAGGCTAACCCACAAACACAAACAAAGGGGGTTCTAAATACACCCCTTCCCCCCATTTGCACCTACGAATCCGGTGCTCTGGCCTTTCTTTTTCTTTTCTTTTCTTTTTTTTTTCTTTTTTTTCCGTCCCTGTTGTTTTCCATTGTTTCCGCTTGGCTTCCCCTTCGCTACCTACTCTTTTTTTTCTTTTTTTGTTTGTTTTCCTTGGCACTGCAAAGGGCAAACCTCCTGCTATTCGATAGGAGGTTGTTGGGGACAATGAAAAGGGAGGCACAGCTACTGGCAAAATGCTGGGTATTGGTCCCAGTACCTTTTTTTTTGGTATCATTTTTCCCCGTCCTCTCCCGAATCTGCTTTTCCTTCTAGACCATATTCACAATGCCTGCACCTAGGCTGGCTATTGGTCCCGGTGCCTTGTGTGGTGTGGTTTTCAATTCGAGCGAAAACTTTCTTAACCCACCCCTACCTCCCAGCCTGTCTCTGCCAACCCTGATTTTCACTGCGCACTAAGTATTGCCGACCCTGATTTTTTTTTTTTTTTTTTTTCCAACCCTGATTTTCACTGCGCACCAAGTTTTGCCAAGCCTGGGTTCCGTTTTGTTTCTTTTTTGGTCCTATTCTGAAAAAAAGGGGGAAAAAAAAAAGGACGGTCAGACTTTAAAAAAAGTACGTGCTCCATGCTCACAACCAATTTTTTTTATAAAAAAAAAAAAAAAAAAAAAAACCTTTGGACGTGATAGCAGGTAGATACCTACCCCAAAGTAGTTGTGTGAGTATACCCTTTTTCCAAGTTTTTCGGCAGTATACCCCCAATTAAAAAAAAAAAAAAAAAAAAAACACCCCTTTTTCCCATGAGGGCGTTTTTTTTGGGCAGGGTTGTGAGGTCCACGGAAGAAGGGAAAAAAATCAAAAAATCAAATAAAATTGAAACTGAACTTAGCACGGGAAAGCGGGTTCATACATTCTGCAAAGAAGTGGTAGTGTGGGCATGCCCTCCTCCACATAGTGTCAGCAGCCCGTGGACCGCACCGTGCCTCCCTCGCAGGGCACCAAAACAAATAAAAGAAAGAAAACAAAAACTTGAAAAACAAGAACAACGAAACCCTGAACCTGGCCACAATAGTGGTTAGATACTTTCCGGTGAGTTTTGGTGTGACCACACCTTCGTGCACGGTGTTCCCGACTTCGTCTTTTGTTTTTCTTTTTGCTATTCGAACGGGCGCGCACAAGGCCCAACAGCCGAGCCTCCTCAGACCCCCGAAAAACTCGGGAAAAAGTGGGAAAACTGCCACTTTCCCCATTTTTCCCAAGAGTGACAGCGGTAGTGGTGGTTTCAAAAAAAAAAAAAAAAAAAAAAAAGAGACTAAAGAGTATCTACTCCTTTCCCTTTCTCATTCCTTAACTTGTTCTTCAACTTCTTCTTACTTTTTTTTAAGGTTTTTTTTTTTTTTTTTGTGTAGTTTACACTCATATCTGATTCCATTGCAGATAGAACTGCAATGGAATCAGATATGAGTGTAAACTACACACACACAAAAAAAAAAA